TGATTCATCTTCATACCAGACGAGGTATCGAAGTGATGGAATGTTTGACACCCTTTACCGGACGGGGTATGGCGATGGTTGGTTAATTGTTAAAATTGGATATTGAGTTCATGAGTAAGAGAACATTCTTATGAATCATTAGAAGTACTAGTAAGCAAATAAGAAAAAAAAATTGTCTTATCTTGTTCTCATAAACGTGAAAATGAAAAGTTATATGGATATAAATTTTTATAGGTTGTTTTTTGTAAAACTCGTAACAATAAGTATCAAACAAACTTTTTAAGTTAAATGTATTCAATTAAAACAATGACTCTATTAGTTTTTATTTTTATTTTTATCAATTTTCAGTTTTCTGTATCTATAATTAGTGTGATATTTTTATTGGGGTAGTGTAGCTCACTCTTTTATTAACCATTTTAGATCAAGAAGACCAAGATTCAGATCCTGATCAGCAAAAGGATTGTAAGTAATTTACCACTCAAACTCCCTTCAAGTGCTAGTGAAGATCGTCCTATAATACTTATTTATTTGTTTTTTTTATTAACGTTTGTCTTTTAGAAAGTACATTCTCGTAACCCTCTTAAACATTCTAAATTATTATATAAGTAATGTAAACTTTAACTCTATTATTTGCTTCCGCATTTAAATTATAAATATATTTCCTTTAATGTTCTAGATTTTTACAAGCTACCACTTAAAAATTTGATAAGTAAAAAAACAGAAAAAAATACTCTCATTCTTTCTTGAAAAAAGGTTCTATTATTGTGATTCCTACAGAAAAAAAAAAAAAAAAAGATTAGTTTGTCAATTCGTTTACCTAAAGTTGAGTTTCTACAAAAAATACTTATGTAGTGAATATTTTTATATACTTTAGTATTCGTTAATATGATTGTATATGTTGTTACGCATATTGATATTGAAAAATTATGTTTGTCTGTAAATTATATGTTAATTATATGAATTCCTAACATATTGATTATATTTTATTTCAAAATAAAAACATGCATAATTTTTAAAATAAAACCTTAACATAAACACTCCATTTATAATCTCTCACATCTCTCAAGTCTCCTCTTCTAGCTTTCATCTTTCTCTTCCTCTCTACACCATCGATTACTTTTATTATTTCATCATACGTTTTGCTTCTAGTTGACTTCTTCTCCTTCCACCTAAGCTGTGCAAGAAAATCTCAAAACCAATCACAACAAATAGTGAAGTTTCATAAGATATTTCTATTCAGATAAAGGTAGTCTGCCTCTCTCTCCAAGGTAATGCCCAAATCATTACATATTTCGTGTGGGTGTTCAAAATTTACATGACAAGAAATTTACTACCTTATAATTGTTATAGTTATGGCAGTCGTTTATTGGGTTTTCGGTTGTCTGGCTCTCTTATCATCATGTCACCAAATTTTTTTACCTTCCAGCAATCAACAGGCGGTTAACCTCTACACATGATCTTGCGACTTTGTGTATACCTATTATTTTTGATAAATTGTTGCTAAGAACTATATGTTTGCACAAAATTTATTCTTGTGAAATCTTTTGCTCAACCATTTTTTTTCTTTCTTTTTAGCTTTGTGATGATCTTGTTACTTTCATCTTTGATCAATCTTGGGTTTGTATCTATTTTGAGTTGGTTCGTAGTAAAATTATGTAAACTTAATTGTTTTAATAGCAAGTTTGTTCATTTCAAGTTTTATAAAAATTTCAGGGGAGCCAGAAATGAAATCAAATTGATGAACAAGTCATAGATTTAAGGTGACTTCAAGTTTTTTTTTTTTTTTTTTTTTTTTCTCTAATGGCAAACTGGATTTTAATTTTATAAAACACGCCCAAAATCTGTCCATTATCATTTTTATATGGTGATAATTATACAGGTGCTTATTATATGAAGTAACCTCACCATATTAACTTGAATATTTAGATTTTTATATAAATTTTATTATAAATCAAATAAAAATCTGAAAATAATAATTCTCCACTGTATATAACTAACACAAGAAGAGCCATGTTTTTATATTAAGGTATCTAAGGTTACTCTTAGATGATTGATTGAATTAATTGTCCTATAAACTTAAATTGATAAAAAGTAGTTCAATCAATTATTTATATTTTAACAACCCTCTCCTAAATAAGTCCACCAAACTAAATGTGTGAACCATGCACACAGCTAGCAATCTTGAATAATCGATTGGTTAAACCAAATAACAGAAAAAGTTAAATAAATAAAAAATAATTCAATCAATTATTTATATTTTAACATTAACAGTTGTTTTTATTTATTTTTACCAATTAATTATTAAGATATAACTAACTAAGATTATGGAGCGTCACATTAGTTATCAACTTTCAAAATGCAAATTTAATCTGCCGATTTCAATTACCACAAAGGGAAACTGTAGACTTAGAAGCAGAAAAGGTGGATGTGCACACATATAGATATATATATATATATATCTATATATATATTGACATACATATGAATCTCAGACTTACAAGTTACAATTGAGCTATCAACAAAACCTTCTAACAAAATTCGATTTCACTAGGCGCATTTAGCTTGCCAAAGCAGTGATGTTTTTTATGCCAATACTATCTCCACTAACCTTTTGAGAGGAAGATAAGCCAAGATCAAAGGGTCCTAATGTCTCTGTCTGCATCAAATTTGAAAACATGGAATGGAAAACAAATAAGCCACAGAAAATTATAAGCAAAGCTAAAAGAAATTTAATAAGTTTCATTAGAAAAGGGCAAATCAATAATTGACGCACCCACTTGATTCCTGACAGTCCAAGGCTACTTTCGTCATTATATACTCGTGAACAAAGAATTAGGTCTGTTTCAGATTCTTCACAAGTTCGCCCTTTTGTACGGCCAGAGTGGTTGGTCTGCAAAACACAAATTAGACATGCGAGTAATTCATTTCAGGCTTAAGCAAATCCTGATAACTCAAAGACATAAACCATAACATAAAGCTTCAAGTCTATTAACAAATACTAGGAAAAAGACATTTTACAAAAGTACAAAACGTTTCTCTCATTCAGACAATATTAACTGCAACATAGTCTTAATCACTGAGTGTCCATCCATTTCAGATCCCAGTGCAGAAGTGCATGTGCTACTATACCTAGCAGCAATGCTCAAAGCCAGCACATTAGATTTTTTTTTTTTCTTCACATAGATGATCCTCAACAACACACAAAGCAGCACATATAAGAAATATATATTTTTTAAAATTTTTATTTTGATGTTTTATATGTTTTAACACAACGAAAAGACAAATGTTCTTACACTAAATCAAGCCTAAGAATCCTGATTAATTTAGTCCATCCAGAAACTCCCAGAAGTCCTTAAGTATAAGACTCTTGCAAACTTTAAAGAAAACATCAAAACTCTTTTAGATTAGATCTAGTGCTCAAGAGACCAATAGATGGATCCTAATTCAGGCTTCATAGAAAAAGCTATTAGACCAGATAGTTGCAAGACATTAAACTCTTTCTTTCCTTTTTATTCATGTCGAGGAACAAATCCTGTTACCCAGACTAAAATCAAGAGCTGCAGGTGCCAATATGCAACAAAGCTATGGCAAGTCCTTCAGATCTTAGAGAAAATCTTCAAATAACTTTTTAACTAGACAATCAGGACATTAAAAGTGTCTAATAATAAATAACATAGAATGCAAGAATCAAAAGGATATAAGCAGACCTCAGTCAGTTTTGGAAATTTGAATGACTTATAATCAACATCCTTTGTCCGAGAAGTTGTAGATCCAACACTTCCACCTGAAGATATAGGCTCTTTCCCTGAAGAAGAGAACTTTTGAGAAGGAAATCCATGACATGTTTCTTCAGCATCAAAGATAGATGAGCGGGTGTCAAGAAGGGATGCCCTTGGACTTTGAGATTGATTTATGCGTCCAGCAAGAAAAGCATCAAATGAATCAGAGATTAGTAGAGTTGGCCGCGAGGCTTTATTGTTCCCATTCTTCTTATCACAACTGTCAAACTTTCCCTGTAAGGATACTTCAGAAAGGAGGCCTCCAATGCTTATGTTAGTAAAAGAATCATCCCACAGTCCCGATAATCCAAAAGGGTTACCATTCTTCATCTCTTCATTAGCCTAGCAAATCAAGTTAAACATGATTGACAAGCACACTAAAAAAAGGGCATAAAACATATTGCATAAACTCTATGCATTTTTATGTAAAGATCGAACACTTGAAAAATAAAACCTACCAAAAGTTGAACTGCTCCATCAGAAGACATTTTGTCCATGAAAGGAGTCCTCGCTGCTTCACTTACAATGACTTGCTTGGCAATTTGCTCATTTCGTCCCTCAATTTGTTTATCTTTGTCACTAGTATTATCCATTTTAGCACTGCAACTTCCCTGTATGGTTTCAAATTGAAGAAAACCACCCTTGGAGGAAACTGAGACAGACTGCGGTTCATGTAGTTCAGCTTTTGTATTGGAGAACCAGCCATACCTTAAAACAAGATAAAGTCAGAACATTAAATTCAGTTGCAAAATGCCTTAAAGAAAGAGACTGATCAGGTTCAGACCTTAAGCGGAAATTGGGTGGGCTTCCGATAGTTGCATAAACATCACCCACACTGATGTTTTCCTTCAGAGTCCATTTATTGCTTGCCAAATGTTCTCCTCTACCATATGGGAAAAGCATAGGATCCCCTTGAGCAATGCTTGAACTGCCCCACTTGCTATTAAAGTGCTTAAGCACAGAAGAAATCCTCTTTCGCGAGCTCAAACTAAGCTCCAAATATGGATGAAAGCCATCCTATTGAAGAGATAATCACCAGTCTTGGTTTAAATTATCTTACAGAGTTGATTTATTAAGGCTATATTTAGGATAACTCCAAAATTTATGTAGAATTCATTTGCAAATCGACATATATCTTACCTATAAAATAATGAGATTCTTACATAAATTTGATAAGAAAAGTGAATTTATATGATATTCCACGTGCAATTAGAAACAGTACATTACAAACTTCATCAATTTTCATAAAATTTTTAAAACTGTATTATTCAATTCCACATGAAAGCCATATGAACTTAATTTTTTATTATCCTAATACAATTTACAACATCTACTAGATGGATTAAGTAACAATTTACAAATGAATTCCAGGGCATTTCTGAATTGTTCCAAACATAACATAAATGTGCAATGTTTGATGATTTTACCTTTTCCAGTCCCACCCGTGTGTTGTCATCTACTGGGAATAGCTGCAATTTCATCTTCCCTGAAGGAGAAAGCATTTTTGCTGAATGCAGGTCCTGTAGAAGCAATTTATTAGCTGTATCCATGTACTTAATACTTTTTTCTTGACTCTGTGGCCAGAACGCTTCAGCTGAATTCGGTGGAGAGTTCTCATCTCTTTGGACCATAATACCATCATCTTGCCATGAAAAAAAAAAAAAGAAAGTTCAAAGACTATGCCAATTGACAATTTCATCTTAGACACAAAAGATAAAATAAAAAAACTTGCACAGATCCGTGAAACTAAATATGAAGTTCTATGGCTACATAGAGCAACTCCATTAATCGCAAGAAAGTAAATAAAGTAGTTTGGTAACATAAATTGATCTGTGAAGCTAAAAGGAATTCCTACCTGTTGCTTTGAAAAGCTTCCCACGAATTCGTTTCCTGGACTTTTCACCACTACCTATGCCCTCTTTACCATCCACAGGAGCCCTGGCTGCCTTCCCTCCTTGCTTTCTAGCAGTTTTCATGGAAAACAAATTCACCTGAAAATTAAACCAAAAGAAATGAGAATTAACAAAAAAGGTTTAACAATAATAAGGCTTGGTCTTTTTTTCTTTTTTTCTTCTTTTTGAAGAGAAGGGCTTAGGTTTATTTCTCATTACTTATTTATTTGTTAACTTAGTATTCGATTTGAAGAACTTGTTTGTACAATTATTTAACCTTACTGTAGTTCTACTATTTAGGATTGTTTTTAGGATAACTTATAATTTGTACCCTCAAATTGTTATATACATAAAAATTACTGCACTTGTTGAAACTTGACCAAATATAACTTATTTGAAGACTACTTTAACTTTTTTCCCTTCAGTTCATGTTATAAAAAAACTGACTGAAGGGAGAATTACATAACAAGTCGCACAACATATGGAGAAAACCCAACAAAGTCAGTGAAAAAAAACAAAAGAACACTTCTTTTGTTCCTTAATGGTCATTAGTCTATATTTTAGGTGTTTTAAATGATAAGTTGATGTCCTTTGAATAGTAATAATATAATTTTATGTACCAACAGTTAACATATTAGATAACAAAAGGGCAAAGTGTATAACAATTTGTAAACTAGGTTTTATTGCTAGCTTTGGAAAGTTGGATGATTTCTGCGTAAGGCAGCAGATAGAAAAAGCAAAATGCAATTTTCCTTGTTTTTAACCCTTTTTCAGTCCTATTATTTGGGATTTTTTTTTAAGTTTAGGAGTTGTTTGACCTTGATATTTCGTATTATTAATAAGAATGGTATTAAAACTTGTAAATATGGTTTTAAAAGAAAGAGCAAAAGTTTTTCTAAAAGTCTCAAAAGAAACAAAAAATATGTCATTACAAACCTTCTATTTGTAAAAAGAATAAGAAAAGAGTTTCAAAAATATACTTAATTCCATTATTTGGATTAAGAGAAACATCTAAATTGACTAAAATGAAAAAAAAAAAATCAAGAAGTAGTAATAAGATGATTCATAATCATCTATTTAAATTTGATCTATAGTGTGGACAAATTGTTCTCTAACAGAAAATAAAATAAAAGATTTGACTGATAGAGCAAGCACAATCAGAAATTAAATATATATTTATATAATAATTTTCTCAAAGAAAAAATCTATGTATATAATCTCTTTAAAACTTAAATTATAAAATAGAAAAATATATGTATATACTTCTAATGTTATTGGCTAAATAGGTAATATCTCTTAAACTATTCACTTTAAAATAAGCTCATCATTTAACAGTCAACCTATATCCGTTAGTGTTGAATATAAGATACTTTATTATTATTTACTAAGATAAATATTATACTATAATAGAAATATGAAATAAAAATTCTATCAAAATAGATAATTTCCTTATTAATAATTTAGAAGTTTTATAAATATATTAAATGTAATACCCTAAAGTGAGAAAAATAAAATTATTATTTTTTCTCTAAAAATTTATATTGTATCAGAACTAAATAGTTTTAAGGTTTTGATTTCAAAGTTTTTTTCAAACCTTAGAATACCAAAAACAAGCTGAGTTGAAAGGGAGGTCAGATAAGAGAAAGAGAGAAATTAGAGCATCAAAGGTTTCCTTTGTCTTCAACCGCATGCAGAACCATGTGAGTAGCAAGAAATGCTTCTTCATTAGCCGCACGCAAAGATGCGCAACCACTAAGGAGTCCTTCTTTAGCTGCATGCAGAGATGCACGACCACCAAGGAGTCCTTCTTCTTCAACCGCGCACGGAGATGCGCAACCAACCTCGAGTTTCTTCTTTAACGGAGCGCAAAGATGTGCAAAGAGATGATTAACCAAGCTTCTCCTTCAATTGCGCGTGAAAGACTGTTCGACCCAGCTCTTTCTTCCACGAGAAGAGCTACACGATCCACCTTGATTTGCCTCACTCCGATTGCACAGAGCCGTTGGCTGCGCAATCCTGTTCCTTTTTCAACCACGCACGGAGCCAATTTTAGCCCGAACTGACCCTCTACACCAAGTAGAGCCAATTTTCAATTTGAGCTGAGACAAGCCATGCTGAACAGCCAGACATA